ATAGAAATTTGCCATGAAAGAAAAAGAGGGATATGATTATGACAATGTCAAGATTGTTACATCAAGGGCACAGACTAATCTGACATAACAAGGGATAGATCTTTATTTTATTTGTAGCAGTTTATGTAAGTGCAGCCAAATACAAAGCTTTAGGACAAATTGTACGCAAATTTTACAATGTAGGATTTGAAATAGGAAAAAAAATCTAGCAACTGTAAAAAATCAAGCACAGATACCAGCACTGAAACTTAGAATCCATGTGAAAGGGAATTTTCTTTTCCTTTTGAGTGCTTTATTTCTGCTACAAAACAGTCAAAACGAAGATGTAAAGCTCTGTGGTTAGTTTAAATTATATACCCTCTGCAGACATTCTAACAATTTAAAAGTTACATATATAACAATAGATGTCCATAATCAGTTCATGGCTTGCTGAGAACAAATCAGGAAAAACTGGAGTTCATCTAAGTCTTCCCAGGTTTTTCCAAAAACCACCTGCTCATCATTTCTTAGAGCACAATAGTATTCCATTACATTCATGTACCACAACTTGTTCAGCCATTCCCCAACTGATGGGTGTTCACTCAATTTCCAATTCTTGGCCACCACAAAAAGACCTGCTATGAATATTTTTGTACATCTGGGTCCCTTCCCCTTTTTTATGATCTTTTTGGGACACAGATGTAGTAGTGGTATTACTGGATCAAAGGGTATGCATAGTTCGATAGCCCTTTGGGCATAGTTCCAAATTGCCCTCCAGTATGGTTGGATCAATTTATAGCTCCACCAACAATGCATTACTGTCCCAATTTTCCCACATCTTCTCCAACATTTACCATTTTCTTTTTCTATCATATTAGCCAATCTGATAGGGTGAGGTAGTACCTCAGAGTTGTTTTAATTTGCATTTTTCTAATCAATAATGATTTAGAGTATTTTTTCATATGACTATAGATAGCTTTAATTTCTTTATCTGAAAACTGCCTGTTCATATTTTTTGACTATTTGTCAATTGGGCAATCTTGGCCAACTTTTTATAAGCCTTCTTCAGCTCATTCTCCATGGCATCTGGAGGAATCCTGAGATTGTCATATAGTTTCATATCATCCATGTTCCCCACTGTGGCGTAAAGGAAGGGAAGATGGCAGAAAGCATTGGTGAACCTGGAGCAAAGACAGCAGCAGTAGGGTAGACTGAGAAAAAGGAGACATGCAAAGAGCAATTTTTTTTAACTTCTAAGTTGCTCCCTGATTTAAATAAGCTTCTAGGAAAGAGTTAATAATAGGCAGTTCTGAAGTACTAGATAAATTTAAACTGTAAACTCATTTAAAAATTCTTTAAAACAAATTCTGCAGAAGGGTACCCCAAAACTCATAAAATATATTATCATTTATAAAATGTTCAAACTGCAGTTTGAAAATTCACAGTAGAAAAATTTTATTTCAGTCACAAATGTAGTCTCTAGTTTGCATTTACATAAATTTCTACAGACTGGGGAAAGATTAATTTCCCTCTTATTTGTGTTATCTCTTCTCTGCCTTCCAACTTGACTAGAGTTATAAGGTAGAGCAATTATCCTTACTGAAGGCCTTGAAAGTTCTGCAGTCCAATAGAAGAACTTGACTTCACCCTTCTAACACCTCCCTCCCCTATTTAGGGTTTTCTTGGCAAAAATGTAGATTTTTGGCTCTTGATGAGAAAGAACTTTCTAACAATTAAGAAATGCACAGAAAAGTTATAGTTTGCCTTATGAGATTGTGAGCTTCCTGTCACTGAATGTTTTCAAGCATGGCCTGCATGGCCACCCATCCTAAACATGGTAGAGAGGATCATTTCATATGACTGGGGAAGTTGAACTGAATGGTTTCTAAGGCTCCTTTTGAAAAAACAAAGCTCTTTGGTTCTATAATTCTACAGCAAAAAGAAGGGTAGAGAATGGTGGAGGAGTCAAAAACCAAATAACTTTAAAAATTTCCAGATTTGGTGGCTAAATGATGAGTTGATTGTATTAATATTAATTCAGTACTTTCAAAGAATTTAATGTTTGCTTTAGCAATACTATCCTTATGAGTCAAAGTCAGACATTTAATATGTGAAGTATCACTATAGAGTTTTTTTCCCCCAAGAAGCAAATTTTATAAAAACAAGGGAAATGAACATAAATCATAGATGGACAACCATTAGTTACGAACATGTATGTAAATATCCAAAGTCACTTGCAGTTCTCATGTCCTCCTAAGACTTTTCTTCTTCATGAGTTTTTTCTTTTTTTTTCTTTTTCATTTTTTTCTTCTTTATATTCCCAGTTCCTTCCATTGATCCATTTATGGCTTGGACCTAAGGCCCTTTATCATCATGATTATCTTCCTCTGGAATTTCTGCTTATTAATGTCCTTCCTAAATTGTGGCAAGGCAGAGGTATCATCAAGGTTAAATAAATTGCCTAAGTCAACACAATGAAGTTAGTAAACTTTAAATTCCAAAATGCTGACCTCAGGCCTCCAGCTGAAAAAGTAAAGGAAGCAAGATGTTTTGGAAGGAACACTTAATGTTCCAGTTGGAAGGCTTGGATTCTTTGTGTGACTTTGTGCAAATCACTTTTCTTCTCCAGTTCTCCATCAAACAAATGGTTCAAAAAGATAATCAACCTATTAGCTACTTTCTACCTCTAGAGCACAAATCTCAACACTGATATAAGCCTTGAAACTGGGCAAGTCACTTAATCTTACCAGTCCGAAAAATAGAGGTAATAGTATTCGTACTCATCTACTTAGGAAACCCCCAAATAGGGTCACTTTAAAGCACCGATTTTATTGAATGGAGTGGGAGGAGAGTAAGACAAGACATATAATTCCAGGTTTAGAAACACCCTCTTCTGATGCAGGTCTACAAGTCGTCATCCCAGAGCCAACATTTTAATATTTTTAATATCATGGACCTCTTTGGCAGTCTGGTGAAACCCATGGACCCTTTCTGAGTAGTGGTTTAAGGCTTACATTCATAATTGAAGGAAATGATAAATTTCAGTTAGATGATTGTGAAAATAAGGATGTGTTTTTTCCCCTCCATCTAAGTATATGGACTGCCTGAAATCTAACCACAGAACTGGTGGATCCCAAGTTATGAACGTCGGTCTTTGAGATTTGTCAAGAGCACGGGAGCACACAGCCATGATGAAATATGAGACTTTTTTGTGGTACAGCTGCCCAAAATAAATAACACTCAAGAGATTTTCTAGGTATAAAGTGAAAGATTTATTACGCCTCGAGAAGTGGGCATCTGCTTCATCAGCAGTCCCAGGGAAGCACGGCAAGGCACAAAGGCCAGGACAAAGGCTATATAGCCCTAACACAAAGATACCCACCCACCACTGGCTTTGAATTCCCATTGGACAGGAATTTCAGCCTTACAATCTAAAACGCGAAAATCAACCCCAGAAACAAGAAACCACATTATAATACTACCAATCCTAGCTATTTATCCTTATTTAGTAATTAGCCATTACTTAATGCTGATGTAACAATACAAATCATGTGATTTCTAGGAACCTGAAATTTAGGACTATTCAGGTTATTGTAACCAACCTCGAGTTTGCAACAGTCTAAGAAATTGTTACACTCAGCCCATCTGAGAGATCTCACATTGTTTACATTGTTTCACTCCGTTAAAAACCAGAGTCTTGACAAAAGTTTGCAAAAAGGAGATCTCTTTTTTGACTTTCTTGAGAAAACGCACCCCCATGCTGCCTCAGCTGCTTCGAGAGTGCGACTGCTCTTTGTTTAAGGCAAGATTATATAGAACCTAACTGCAGCAGCCCACCCTAACCCCCTTCCGGTGGCTTATTGACTGAGCCTCAGGTATACAATCTATTCGTGTAAAAACTACCCCAGTAACAGAGAGAACAAAGAGATATACAAATTATGTTAACACGTTCCCCTTTTCAGGGCCTTACAGTCTCAGCAGCCTTTTACCCAAGGTCCTAAAGCTAGCTAGAGGTTGAGATAGACAATATGCTCTTATGGCTCAGGAATTTCTGCTAACACTATCTAAGAGTAGGGGAGGGGGTCTTATATTCTGAGGGGTCTTCACTTAGTGTTGGTACACATGTACCACTCAAAAGCAACAATACCAGAACCATTAAGAAGAACTAATGACCCCCTGAGGAGGCTTCACTTCTGAGAGATCATGTCTCACACTTTGAACTCAAGTCTTCCCAGGAGACTATCCCCTAGCTCTTGATACCTCATTATTATTAATTAGTATATTATTCCAAAGGAAAACATGGCTATCTTCACCCCCCAATGTCGGGAGGAGGCTGAAGCCACGCATTTCAGGGATTCTCCCTCCACGTGGACAGCCCTCATCCTCCCACCCCCGGTTTTAGGGCCACCTGCAGGGGTCAAGGCCAGGAGTCTGTCACTCCCCTTTTCTTGGGCGAAATGTAGGCATCATCACGCGGGGGCCGAAAGATGGGGACAGTCGGGGAATTGGGGCGTTAGGTCGCTGGGGGAGACCCCACGCACAGGCACGTGGAGTGGGGGAGAAGCCGCTTTAGTGACACGTGGCTCAGGAGATGAGAGGCCGCCTGCTCAAGTAGAGCTGGTACCTTCTCTCCCGCATCCTTCATCCCTCATCCCCGGCTATTCTACGAGGTCTCCGAATCACGGCTTTCCATTGGTCCGATGGGAGACACCGGGCGCTCCTATTGGTCCTCATTGAGGCGGAGGCGTCAGGCGGAACAGGTGCACTCCTCGCTCTCGTCCCTCGTCCTGTACATTCTTCGCGCTCTCAGAATCGCGGTTTGTTATTGGTCGGATGAGACACCGGCGTGCTTCTGATTGGTCATCTAGAAGTGGAGTCAGAAATACGACCGAAAGGAAGGTTCGGTCGTGTTACCTCCCGGCCCGGCCCCCAGCTTTGCTTTTCATTGGTGGACAGAAAACAGACCACCGCCTCCAGCTAGCGTCCATTGGCTTTGCCCCCAGCCCTCCAAAGTTGGGATGGTCGGTTGGATACGGAAGCCGGCACGGCCGGAGAGGGCGAATCCTGCCACCTGAAGTCGGTCTCGCTGCCGGGAGCGGGGGCCTCTGGTTTTGATGGCGGCCGAAGGCGGCAGCGGCAGCATGGAGGGGAAAGAGCCCCAGGCCGTGGTCACCTACTACCGGCTCGAGGAGGTGGCGAAGCGCAACTCGGAGAAGGAGGTGTGGATAGTGATCCACGGGCGAGTCTATGACATCACCGCCTTCCTTGGCGAGGTGGGGCCCGGGCCCGGGCCGGGCTGGGGGGAGGGGGCGGAGGAGGGCCGTCAGAACGGGAGCCCGAACCGACGGGGGAAAGCCCGAGGCTTGGGGGGCCGTGCAGGCCACGTGCGGGGCTCGTGCCCGAGCGGCTGCCCCTTCTCTCCGGGAACGCCCAGTGCTAGGGGCTGCCCCCAAGGCGCGTCACCCCGGCTTTGGTGGGGGAGGCACTCGGGGGCATCGGGGGCCGGGCTGGACGTGGTGCAGGGGGAGCCGAGTTCGAGTTCTGCCGCAAGCCCTGGGCACCCCTGCCGCGGCCTCAGTTTTGTGAAATCAGCACGTTTAGAACACCCAATTGTAAATCCTTCTTCTTACGTTTACGAGCCTCGGGACCCTGGGGGGCAAGCCCCTAAAGCCGGCTCCGCCTCCTCGTAGGCCTGGAGTTCAATAATAAGTAATAATAATTACTGGCATTTATAGAGCACTTACTCAGTGCTAAGCGCTACGCTGTGCTAAGCGCTTTCCAAATACGATCTCCTTTGATCCTCACCGCTCCACTCGAGGTAGATGCCATTATCATTCCCATTTTTACAAGTGAGGAAACTGAGGCAGACGTAGGGTAAATGACTTGCCTGAGGTTGTACAGTTAGGACGTGTGAACCCAGCTTCTTCCTGACTCCAGGCCCAGAGCTTTATCCACGTCGTTTCAAATCCTGCTTCAGACTTAGTATGCTACATCATGACCTTGAGTAAATCTCTGAACCCTCCCTCTCAGCCTCAGTTTCCTCATTTGTAAAATCAGGATCATAATAGCACTTGAGTTCAAATCCTGCTTCAGATACTACTAGCTATGGGCAAATCACTGGGTTTCCTCGTCTGCCAGTTGGGGATTAATAGTAGAACTTGAGTTTAAATTCAGCTTCAGACACTTCTTAGCAGTGGTACCCTGGGAAATCTGAAGCCCTCATCTGTAAAATGGGGTTAATAGCACTCACTTAAGTTGATCTACCTAGTAATGGCCTCTTATTTCCTCCAACTGATTTACTGTCGGTGTGCCTGTGGACAAATAACTTTACTGAGTCCTGCTTTCATTACTTATAGAATGGAAACAATCATACTTGTAGTTTACTTGTAGTTTACTTACCTTATACGGTTATTGTGAGGAGTAAATGAAGAAGTACTATATGGATGTCAGTTGTTAATAATGTGAATTCAATATAAGAAAACATTTAGCCCCTAAGGCAATATGCTGAAAGTTGGAGATAAAAAAAAATTTTAAAAGGAAAATCTTTGCTCTTCTGAGAGCTTATCTTTTAGGGCTATGTTCCAGGTAGTGTGCTAAGTGCTTTGTAATTTTTATTTGGTCCTCAAAACAACCTTGGTAAGCAGGTGCTATTTTTATCCCCATTTTACAGGTGAGGAAAAAGAGAGATCAGATAGTATTCTGGAAAAAAATTGCAGAAGGGATCATTTTCAGTTGAAAAGATAATAGAAGGTGTCACTGAGGGTAACAATATTTTTGGAGGCTAATTTTAGATACTTTGCTCTATATGAAAGGCTCCCTAGTGTCTTCATTTTCTCTTTCTGTAGCAAGAATAGTCGAAATATATTTCTGTTAATTTGGTTAACTTGTGAGAATGTACTTTCTAACTCCTGATTCTAGAAAAGTTTCAATACTTAAGTTTTACACTGAAGAACATTCTGCATATTTTTACATGAGTTTGTCAGTAAATTAGCTTTTAGACATTAACTTCTAATTATTAGTATCATTTAACATACTTGTGTAATGTCCTCTTCTCAAAAATGTTTTTACATTTAATTTCTGCAATAACTTAGGGAGCAGATTTATTTCCATTTTAATAGATGAGGAAACTGAGGTTAAGGTCATATAGCTGGTTAATGGTAAAACTTGGATTAAGTAAATCTTCTAATTTACCTTTTAGTGACTTTTTATTTGTTGTAGTAGCTTTCATAGATGATTTTAACATACACTTGGGAGATACCTCGTATGAGTTAAAAATAATACAAGGTTTCCCCAAAGATGCAAAGGAGCCCTGCAAAATCCCAGGACCATTTCTTTTGCTGTCTTTCTTGGTGATTTATAATGGCTGTGGAATCACCTTTTCCCTTTGTGGTTTGGCTTTTCTTAGAGTCCTGGGGTGGGGAGCCTGCAGCCTTGAGGCCACGTGTGGCCTTCTAAGACCTTGGGTGAGTATGAATGAATCCAGGTTTTATAGAACAAATCCTTTTATTAAGGGGATTTGTTCTGTGAAGTTTAGATTCAGTCAAAGGTCCCTCTTGAGGACCTAGAAGTCCACATGTGGCATTGAGGCAGAAGGTTCCCCACCCCTGAATAGTCTAACCGTTTTGTTTTCACGGTTAAGGAAATCGATACCCAGAGAGATGAAGTAACTTGTACAAAGTCAGTGGCAGCTGGCATGAAGGTTCAGGTCTCCAGATTAGCAGTTCCATATGCTTTTTACTACACTGGTTTCCCTGAAGTGCTTTCTAAGAGTTCTTTCGTAAGATTCTGGCTAATTTTGCTTAAGACTTGGATTCAAATTCTGTCTCTCTTAGCACGTGGGTGCTTTTAGGTAAGGAGCTTAACTTTGCTTGGCCTCAGTTTCTTAATCTGTAAAATGAGGGCCATGGGCTAGATGACCTCTAAGCATTACCAGCTTTATCTTGCTAATCCTAAAAAAGGATAATTGGTAGCTTCTATCTAATCTACACACCATGCCACCATTTTACCCAAAGTTTAATTAAAGATATTGGAACCCAGATGTTAAAGTGCAAAGAAAAGAGCAAGAGAAGAGAAAGTGGGGGCACCTATTACAGATGAAGGCTTTAGTGAGAAAGGGCAGAAGAGATATAAGGTGATGCTTAGCAGGGATAGAAGGATCAAGGGAAGGATTTTTTAGGCCAGGGGAGACATAGGCATATTTGTAAGAAGTAGGGAAGGAGCTAGTAGACAGAGAAAGATGGAAAATAATTGATTGACAGAAGGGCCCTCTGTTGGAGGAGACAGAAAAGAAGGGGATCCCTTGAGTAGGTAGACGGTTAGCTTCAGTAAGGAGGAAGGCCACCTCATCAGGTGAGACTGGTGTGAAGGAGGAGAGAGGGGTAGAGGGGAGATGAAACATGCGCAAAAATATTTCAAATTTTGTATTATGAGACAGTATATGGACATGGCAATGAGAGTATGTAATGATACCTATAGGTAAATAAAATTTATTAAAATGTACCTTGCACAAAATTTATTGACTTGAAAAAGGAGACTTTATCTTGGTCATTGACTCTATTATATAATGTAATTCTCAACCATTTTTGTCATAAAATGGAATGTAACCTTAAAAGGTCAACCAGTCTAGCTTCCCTTCAGTCATCCCTCTCCCTTTCCCTAAATTCCAAGCTGTCCTTAATCCATTGTTTCCTCTGTTGCTTTCAAACATACTCAGGTCTATTTCATTTCACTTGAACCCATGAGGTATTGTTCTAGATCTTCCCTAAAATCCTAGAAATAAACTATGTACATTTGTTGCCTTCTCATTCCTCAGATCTGAGAGGAAGGTCTTGTAGAAGATGGAATTTTAATTGGGACTTAAAGAAAGCGAGGCAGGTCAGCAGTTGGAGTGGAGGAAAGAGTGTTCCAGGCATGGGGGACAGCCAGAGAGAATGCCCAGAGTTGAGAAATGGAGTGTCTAATTTGTGGAAGGCCCAGGAGGCTAGGGTCACTGGATCTAAGAGTATATGTTGGGGAGCAAAGATCTAAGACTGGAAAGGTAGGAGGGGCCTAGATTATGAGGGGCTTTTTAGGGAGCCACTGGAATTTATTGAGTGACGTGGGTGATATGGTCAGATCTGTGCTTTAGTGACTGAATGGAGGATGGATTAGAGTGGGAAGAGCCCTGAACCAGGCTGACCCACCACTAGTAGGCCATTGCAGTAGTCCAGATGTGAGGTGATGAGGGCCTGTACTACAGTGTCAGAGGAGAGAAGGGGCAGATTCAAGAGATGCTCCAGATTAAAAAGTGAAATTAATCTCCTGTAGGAGATTAAGAGGTGAAATCAATAGACCTTGGCAACAACTTGAATATGGTCGCTGAGGGATAGGGAGGAATCCAGGATGACCCCTAGCTTTTAGCCTTGAAGGCCTGAGAGGATGGTGTTGCCCTTGACAGGAATAATAGGGAAGGAGTGGAGGAGGGCATAGGGGGAAAGATAATACGTTCCATTTTGGACATATTGAGTTTAAGATGTCTACTGAACATCCAGTTTGAGATGTTTAAAAAGCAGTTGGAGATGTAAGATGGGAGGTCAGCAGAGGGATGGGGGAAGGTTAGGTAAATTTATGAATCACAGCACAGAGATGGTAATTAAATCCTTGGAAGCTGATGAGATCACCAAGTGTAGTGGTATAGAGGGAAAAGAGAAGCAGGCCAGGACACTTGGTTTAGTGGGTGTGATCTAGAGGAGGAGCCAGGAAAGAAGACTGAGAAGTGGTCAGTCAGAAAGGTAGGAGGAGACCGAGGAGAGAGGGGTGTCCTGCAAACCTAGAGGGAAGAGAGTATCGAGGAGGGCTGTAAACTAAGAGATCATCAATCACTCTGGAGGGAGCAGTTTGAGGCAGTACGGAAGGAGCCAGTAGGCTGGAAAATAAGTGATAGAATGAGAGTGATAGAAGGGCCATTTGTTGGAGGAGACAGGAGGGAAGGACCTTCTCCTTTTCTCTCTACATTTTTCTTGGTGAACTCATTAACTCCCCGGGATTCAACCATGACCTTTATGCAGGTACTTCCTAAATCAAAATATTCAGCCTTCAACTCTCTTCAGAGTTCCAGACCCACATCTCCAACTGCCTGTTTGACATCTCCACTGGGGTTTTCCATAGGCATTTTTAACTCAACCTGCCCAAACCTCAGAGTTCCTCTCGTCAGTCAGTAAGCATTTGTGTTTTTTTTTAAATAAATTTATTTATTTTCAGTTTTCAACATTCACTTCCACAAGTTTTTGAGTTC